CACCCCACACCCTGCTGGCATCACCTCCCCTAGGACAAGCTGCTCAGTGTTGACCAGCTGCAACCAGCCTGGGGGTGTTCGGTACACTAAAGGGAAAAGGGAGGATTCCCCCAGGCTGTCACAGCATTGCTGCAACTGCTGGGAGCTGCTGCTGTGCTCCACTCTTGGCAGGGATGGATGGATGGGTGTGTTGGAGTAGGGACCAGCCCAGCCCAGCTCTAGCTGCTTCCTTACCTCCGAGTGAGTCTTGATGATGTGGTACTTGACGCCACTCTCAGAGCTGAACTCCTTCTGGCACAGGAGGCAGCGGTACTTGCCCACCGAGTGGTCTCCCTGCAAGACAGAGCATCCTCCTGCAGCCCCTGAAAGTGCCCTGGAGGGGTGGCCTCACTGCCCTGACCCCTCTGCAGAGGGAGGTGATGCTTAAAACCTCAAAGTGACACAAAATAAACACTCCTGTCCAAAGCACCAGATCTTTGTCAGCCTTGATGCCAGGCCAGGAGCTCACAGCTGCATCCTACCCTCTGAGTTTCAGCCTGTGCTACTCGTGCTGCTGCCTGTGTGTCCCCAACGTCACCACTGACATCAGGTGTTTCCCTAAGCTGATGGGGCCATCACCCTGTGTCCTTGTTGCCAGCAGATCCACGATCTCCTGGGACTGAATCACCATCAGATTTATGTCCAGCACTCACCTAATTTTCCTTTTTTGCTGCCCAAGAGCCACAGTGACTGCTGGATTCCTGTCATCAGAGCCCTGGTGGGATGATGGATCTCCCGGCTCTGCTGCAGGTCACAGCATGTGGGAGATAATGTGCTCTCTGTTGACGAGGGGGTTATGGATGGGCCCCTCTGAGCAATCTATTTCCTCCCTGGGAATTTCTCCATAGCTGTAAATCTGGAGTTAGATGGGTCTCTCATTTCAGGAGCGGGCAGGGCTGGCCTTGCTGCAGGCTGGCTTCAGGAATGCTCACACAAAAATCATCTTGGTGCATCAGTCCCCGCTGAGGATGTATGTGGTGCTGCCTGGGAGCAGCCCCTGATCTCACTATGGCTTGATGTATTGCAACCAATTCTGCAGGAATCACAAGCCAGCTCTGGAGGGGCTGTGATTTATTTATGTCCAATTTGGTGGCACATGTATCCAAACTAAATGCTCTATAAGGGGAAGAATCCCGCTGATGGTGGTTTGGGGGTCACAGCACAGTAACTCCTCACTGCTGACCCCCAACACTCATCCCTGGCTGTGCCAGCTCCAGAGGGTGCAGCTCTGTGGCCCATGGAAATGCTCAGGCACATCCTGGCTGATTCCCGTGCATGGAACCAGCCAGGAACCAGCTCCATTTTCTCTCGGTCAGCAAAGGAGATGCCCCAGTCTCCTGTGTTTGCTCTTTTATCCTGCATAAATCCAGCTTCTCCTGCCGGATCTCTGCAGCCCATTTTCTAAATGATCTCATTAAGAGCTGCTGTTCCAGCTAGCGCTGGAGGAGCGCAGGAGTTGGTGTTTTTAATAACCACGGGATATGTATTTGAGCTGCCTCCTGGAAGCTCCATTCAATGGAAGCTGCAGCTGGAAATGTTTCAGGCTATAAAGCTTTAGCAGCTCTTACTTGGTTCCAATTTGAGGGACCTACGCTGAGCTCCCAATCCCTCCCCCGTGGCAGCTGCAGGCCACTGGAGCTCAGCGCTGCTCCATCCAGAGGGAGAGCACTGGTCTCTGCATGGACCAGCCACCTCTTCTAGCCTCAGCTCATCCCAGGAGGCACTGTGCCAGTGTCCCTCCACCTGGGCTTCCAGAGGGGCTGCAGAGCTGCCTAAATCAGAGGAGAAAACCTCCTGATTCTCACCTGCATCAGGAAACATGCAGTTTCCAAAACCAAGCTCCGTGGCTCTGAGCTGCTGTGTGTGAGGTGCTGGCCACACTGGGTAGCCAAGGACTAGTGAACAACTTGAGAGCTGAAGGAACCAGCTGGGCAGGAGCTGCTGTGGGACAGGAGGATGCGAGGCAGGAGTGCTTGGTCCTACTGCCCTGTCCCTGAGGCACTCTGAGTGTCAGAGGTCTGGGCTCTTGGGTGAGTTGTTAGTGGTGTGAGACTTCTCCTCCAAGGCTGGGGTGGTAACTACATCCCCTCCATCACATCTGTCCAGCTTGAGCCTCTCTGCCTCCATCTGCCTGGTGACAACTGACTGAGAGCAGCACTTCCTGGCCAGCCCTCCCTGTGGCATTTAACCTGTATCATTGTCCCTTGGCTTGTCCCTTCCAAACCAGCCAAGGGGGAAAGAAAACCAAATCGCAACCCCAGTTCTGAGCCGAGGCAGTAAAAAGAGGGACTCACCTTGTTGCAGTTGGCCAGGTGAGCTTTCAGCCCCGAAACACTGGAGTAAATGGCTTCACAGCACTGTGAGAAGAAACGAAGCAGGGTTAGCCACGATCCCACTCATCTCCCTGCCTTCCTCTGAGCCGGGGCTAGGAGCCTGCTGTGCCAGAATGGCCACTGGTCCAGGCTGAGCAGTGTGAGGTTAATGCTCTGCAAGGCACTGAGGGCTCTGGTCACACGTTTCCTATTAGCACTAATGGGAGTCATGTGGCCACATCCCTCTGACACGGCCTGAAAAACGTCTCCCCTCAATGTCTCCATGGAAAACGTACATTTGTGAGCTGTCGGGAGGTCCTGCTGGGCTACAGGAGTTCTTGGAGCCACAGCAGAGGCTTAACGGAGAGGAGAAATCACCCAGGCAGCAGCATGACCAGTTTCTGAGCAACGTCTTTTCCAAGTGCCTGTGTATGACATTAATTAGCCAGCCCAGCTCCCCCGGCCTTGCGGGAACAGCCTCCTTCAGAACTCCCATTAACAAGGCTTTGTTTGGGATGATAAATCCAGGCCCAGCACCAGGGTGGGGTTCACCTCCCCACCAGCTCAGGCCAAGGCTTCATTTCACAGCAAGATGAAGTGCATGCACCATGCCCCAAGGTCTGTGCCTGTCACAGGGCTTTAAAAAGCTTGGCTTAAACCCAGCCTGGCTTAACTCTGGGAAAAGCAGGTTCTCTGGATGAAAAAGGCTCTCAAGCACAGGGAGTGCAGCCTTTGACTCATCTGGATCTCAGAGCTTCCCAAAGACAGCTCCAGAGCACGAACTGGGCAATGCTGAACTATCAACCCAATGGCAGCCCAGTCCCCACCCAACCTGGTGGCTTGAGCACACTAGGAGGATCCCAAAGGTGGGACATGCTTTAACCAGGCATGGCAGCAAGCCCAGGAAAAGGAGATGAAACCAGTGTCTGACTCTCACTGTCAGCTGGGTCCCAATGAGAACCTGCTTTGGTGGGTTTCTGCCCCAAAAACTCCCCCTTCCTCCTGCAGACTGAGAGCAGCCAGTCTGTAGAAGAACAGACAGTCCTTACGTTGTTGGGACAGTTGATGCGGCCCTTCTCCTTCACTTCGTTCTTCCAGTTTTCCAGCAGCCTGGGATTGAGCTTTGGAAGTCCTGGCCGGGTGTAATTGAGCTGCGAACAATAGCAGAGGATTAACAGAGCTGCTCACCCCAGCCCAGTCCGTGGTGCAGTCCTGCCTCTTCACATGGATCTTGTCCCCCCCCAGAAGTGAATCGGAGCTGAAAACTATTTGGGAGGCTTCTCCCAGAGATGTCATCCCCCTCCCTGGGCACCACAGTGCAGGGGGGTGGCTCTGCCCACTGCTGTGCCACTGGCAAAGAGTCCCCAGCAAACAGGAGAGGGGAGACTCCTGTTTCCGGACCCATACCCAGCTGTGGGTCCAAGCTTGGACCCGGTGTTTTCAGTGCATAGTGCCAGCACAGCCCTTCTGCTGCGTTTCATAACCAGGGGAATAAACAACCCTGCATGCTGGGCAGAGGGGACGACGCCAGGAGCCTCCATGGCTGCTTTCCATGGATGAATGGGCACAACTGGTTGAACAATGAAAGGCTCTTGTGTCTCTGCCTCTCCTTCTGGCAGGGCTGCTCCTTCCAAGTGCTTTTAATTACCACTTTATTAGCGACTTTGAGGGTTAGCAGAGCGGGCTGGCCTTCCCAACTCCACTTCTGCATGTTCAGCACAAGCCAAGGTGGCTGTGGTGGCTCCAGGCCTCCCATCCGCTGTGCCTGGCCCTACCCACGGGGTTGGTCCTTGCATGACACCGTGCCAAGGTCTGCAGGGGACACAGGGCTGCACAACCATGGCAGCACAACTCCCAGCCCATCCTGATGAGCTCTGCTAGAGCTGACTGACGTTGTTTGGGTCCTGAGCCCCAAACTTGTCCCAAGTGGGAGCAGGGCTGGGTGAGCCCGCCGTTGGCACAGTGCAGGTATGGGTACCTGAGTATGTGCCACTCTCCCTGAGCACCTCCGAGCAGGGGACAGGGCACATCAGTGCATCCGTGCTCAATGGAGAGGACACACAGCCAAATGACGCTCACAGAGGTGCAAACCCAGGTGCTGTTTTTAAAACTTGCCCCGACGACCCCAAGCTGGTGGTTCAGAGGCGGTGGGAAGCTGGCTGGATTTCTTTTCCAGCTGTGACTTTTCCTGAACATGCTGATAAAGCTGTGAATCTGCCTTTGACCAGCTCCCCCCAGCTGTTCCCAAACCTCCCTGCAAAGGGGATCTCGGGATGTGGAGGGCTCCAATGCCAACTGCTCATTTCCACTCAAATTGACCCGTGTGCCCCTGCAGCCTCCCCCTTGGCACGTAGCAGGGCACGGCTGGAGCAGGGAGTCTGGGGAGCGCCGGGCCCCGTGCGAGGGGCAGGGGCACAGGGCCTTGCGAAACGGCGCAGCGAACGCTGGTACGGACGGATGTGGAAAACTCCCCCGAGCCCCAGCGTGCTGCTATTCTGTCGTGCTTCGTGGCTGGGGGAGATGCCAGCAGAGCTCTTTGAAGCTCTGGGATGGTGCATCTACCAACCGCTTGGTCCCCAGCCCGGGGAAGGCAATGCCACCTCCAGGGGAGAACACAGGAGTCCCTTTTTGCCATTGGTACTGAGAGCCAGGATGCCAAACGGTCTCCGTAATTAAAAACCAATCAATCCCATGAATGAGCAAACATTAACAGTAACCACACACAGCCCCAGCACACCAGAGAGGACACACTCTCCCTCCGTGTGTCCCCGGGGAGGAGGTGAGGGGGGGATGTTCAGAGATGCGGACTCTGCTGCTCCGCTTTCCCACTCCAGAGAAAAATCCCTCCCCACTCTCCTCCAACAGCCCTGCACAATAACATGCAAATCCCATGTCTTCCCGGGGCGCTGCGGTTCCGGGAATGTCAAAGTCATCTTTATGTCTCCATTAAGAGGGAGCCCCAGGCATGGAATATTTTATATTTTTTTTCTTTTCCATTTATTTCCCTCAAACAGCCTGTAAGTGAAAATCTTCTTGGCCAAATCATTAAACGACTACAACTGGTTTTGGCTGCAGCCCATCTCTTCTGAACAGTCGAAGGATGCTGGGCTGGGAAGGTTTGTTTTCTTTGACTGACGGTTTTATTTAATTAACTTTCATATTTCAATCCTCTCTGCTCCCTAGACAGCTCTCCCCTTCCCCAAAATATATTGCTGTAAATGAGAACCATGCTGGCTGCCTCAGCCAACGAGCGCCCCTGGAGGCCTCACCCAGGTCCCCAGCATGAGGCACAGCTCTCCCAGCACCCCAAAGAAGCGGCGGATAATGCTGCCTGGGAGGGGAAGCCAAAATGTACCCAGGGGTGGTGGCTGACAGCTGGGTCCCACAGGAGGGTCACACCATGCCAGTGCTGCTGAGCAAGGGAAGGAAGGATGGACTCAGCCCTGCAGCTGGAGCTGGGATCCGGTTTGGCCCACTAGTGACATGAGTCCGCAGAGCTCAGCCTGGCTCCCGCCCGGAGCGCAGGGCCATTGTTTTGGGGGACACACTCAAGCCAGGCTCTTCTGCTCTGGAATTTACCCCGGTTCCAGTATAAAACCTCAAGCCTGGAGATGACTTTTCCCCTTTAGCTTTATGACCGGCCTACGGCAGCGCTGCGCTCTGGATCCCTGGCACCCCACGGCACCCAGGCTCCACGGGAATGTTCAGCTTCCATGGCTGTCTTCAGCCCTGCACAGACACCCAGACCCCAAGCCACAGGAAGGCAAATGGGGTGTCCTTGAACCCCATGGAGGAGTTCTGCATTTCTCTCTGTCTGGGCTGCAGGAGCTCACCACCACCTCCACCACCTTTAAATAAGGAACCCTACCATGAGCTCAACAGCAAAAACATCACACCATGAAAAGGTGGGATTTCCACAGCATTTTCTCCCCTCTTGCCTCTTAGGTGCCTCTTCCCTCTGCTTCAAGAGGTTGTTTCTCATCCCCTACTAGATCTCAGTGCCCACCAAGCTGGGAACCTGCAGCCTCTTGCTCCTTCTGAGGCAGCCCCAAGGCTCCTCACGGGCAGGCGATGGCCCCAAGCAAAGGCCAGAGGAGGGTCGGAGGGTCAGCATCATCTTCACGGAGCTTCTGGAGAGGGGATTTTTCCCAGAAAAGCAGCAGGGGTGTGCCCTTTCCCATCTGACATCCCCAGCAAGCGGCTGTTGTGAAACACCCCATCTGTTTCAGCTTATCCGGAGGCAAATAAAGAACGGAGCGAGAAAATAAGACTCCAGTGTATATTTAGAAATGCTGGATTTGGTTAGCGCAGACCGAAGGCAGCACAGGGCCTGGGATCGAGCAGCAATCGTTTATTCTAATGCCATTGCTTTGGTGTGAAGGAATCCATCCTCCCGGGGAAAGGCGAACACATCCCACCATGGGCCACCAACGGGATCCAACCCCAGCCTCCCTCTCCCCAGCTGGGACCAGCAGCCATGTGGACACAGTGCAGGGGCTGCAGTGGGGCTGTGCCTGCCAGGAGGCTGTGAACCCCCATATCCCACCAGCTTGCTGAGGAGCTGTGCCTTCCTCTGGGAAAGTTTTGCTGCTTGGAAAAGGGATGGAGAGAAGGGGTGGCTTTCTTCATCAGCTCCCTTGAAATCCACGTTGACTGCTGGGACTGTGGCGGAGAACTGGAGTTCAGCAATGGAGTGGGTCCTGTGCTGTAGTTTGAATGTGTCCATTCATCACTGTTTACAGACCAGGGCTGGGATGTGTCCGTTCCTCAGGAATCCTAGAAACTCCCTGCTATTGCTGAGATGTGCAGGAGCAGCTGCAATCTGCTGGTGATCCCTGACATCCCTCTCCAGGTCCAGTGAGGGGGTCTGCAGGTCCAACAGTGTACTCCCAACGGCTGGGTACAGCCCAAGGAGAAGGAAGAGGCGGTAGCATGGCAGCTCTTCTGGGAAATCCATCAGGTCTCACTGCCCTGGTCATGGTGGTTATATGCCTGCCACTGGTGGCTCTGGGTTGTCAGCTCCCTCAGAGAGATGGCCACACACATGCTCAGCAGGGCGGTGGCACAAGGACATGGGGCACTGCCCACTGCTCTGAGCCTCCCATGTGCCACAGAGCTGTCCCATCAGCACAGCTGAAGGCAGTTCTGAGGGAAGGGCTTTTTAGGGGCTGTGATGGGGTCAAATTGGGCTGATGTGTCCAAAGCACTTACAGCTGGGAGGTTTTTACCACACCCTGAACTGCAGCAACTTGTAAACACAGAGCAGTCCTGAGCAATGCAAGACAGCTCAGCAGAGCAGCACAGAGTGCTGAACTTAGCAAGCTCCCACCAGCATCCCCAGGCAGAACCTGCCTCCCACCTCCTTCCTTCGAGAAAAAATGTCATAGACTGAACAGATTATAGAGTGTTGTCAAGGGAACGTGACAGCCACCGCAAGACATACCCACAGGCACATGCACAGCTACGTATGTATTTACCCACTGCACTGATCTCCAAAATCCATGGGGGATTTCATGCAGGGCTCGAGGTCCTGATCCTTCAGCCCAAGAACCTCGTTTTGCCACCTGGGAGCTGATCCAATTTCCCCCTTGCACATCTTCAATGCAAACTTGCTTCTGCCAACCTCACAGCAATCTTTGCTTTTTAGCATCGAGATGGGGCTCAGTTAAACAATCAGACTGAACACAAGAAATGTCATATAAAAACAAACCCCACCCGCATTTCACAGAGCAATTACACCACTGCTGAGACCTTTATGAAGCCTTTGTATGTCAGTTTGCACATGTGCCCCTTGTCCAGGCCTGGGGTCCTGTTGCTCCCTCAGTTCGAAAGAAAGTATCCAAAGTCATGAGTAAGGGAAGAAAGGAATGCAAGTGCTAAGGCTGGAGGGGGGAGAAGAGAGCAGCACACCTCTCCTCCCACAGTATTTGAAATGAAACAGCTACTTTGGGCTTGATTTTTTTATGTTATAAATGCATTGCAGCTGAAGTCATCTGGAAACCAACAACGGCAATACCAAGCACTGGGGAAATAAAAAGTTTGCAGCCAGCTCTGGCTCTAAAACCCCCAGCTCTGCTCCATGGCAGCACTGTGGCTGAATCCTGTTCTGTGCCACTGCCTCACCTGGATGCTGAGGTGGGTAAAGAAGCTGCTGGCTTGTTTCTGTGCTGGTTTTCCAGCTGCCTGCTGTGTGCAGACTGGGAGCTGAGCCATGCTGAGCTCCTCTGGGTCTCTGCAGGACAACAGACGCACTTCTGCAGAGCACACAGAGGTGCCAGGACAGCACAGGACAGGCTGGGGCAGTAGGAACATGTTTTGGCTGAAGCTCTGCTGTCCTGCCACCCCTTTTCCTGGGGTGAGCCATGTCCCTTCTCCAGGCTGGCTCTGAGACTTGGGCTGTTCTCATGGCTTGTGGCATGCACTCTGGGTTGGGGCTGTTCACACTCTCCTGATACCCTCTGATCCTCACTTCCATCTTTGCAACGTGCCCAATATCCTGCCCATGGTGAATTTTGGAGCACTGGACAAGAGGTGTCCAACTGTCCATAGCAAGGAACAGGTCTGGCACCTAATTGCAGAGTCACCAGCTCAGGAAACAGGTTACATCTGCGGCAGATACTTGTAGGATAGCTCTGTGTTGTGTCCTGGCAGAATACAAAAAATTCAATTTCCTCTCTTTTTTCCCCTTTTACTGAAAAGGTTTATGATTTGCTGCTGCTTCGTTGCTTTTACAGTCCAGAAAAAGTGATCCTGGAGGAAACTGCAGCTTTGGGACACTCCCAGGAATAATCACCTCCTCCCACAGAAAGGAGCAAAGTGTGGTTTAACACATTACTCTTGTCACCAGGAAGCTCAAGGCTGATGGAGCCCTGTGCAGACCACAGCACTGGGCCATGCATGCATCACTGCTGGAGCCCCCACAGGGCTCAGTGCTGCCTCCACACTGCCTTCCTCTGTTCCCAGCATCACCGCTCCGGGATGCTGCAGGCCCTGTACCTTCAGGGAAGCATCTCCCAGAAGTTAAGGAAGAAGTGTGGAAGGGAGGGAATTCTGCCTGGGGCATCTTTGCTGTCTGACAGTGCAAGGGAGATTGTTTCAGATCCAATCTCCAATCTCTTCATATGCTCCTCTTGGCCCTACTTCCCTGTTCAGCATGGACCAGACTGATATCCCTTCACAATATCCTCTGGGCCGGACTCTGATCTTTCCCCAAACACCACCTTTTGCTCCATTCCACCCAGTGGAAAGGGCAAAGCTGCCTGCTGCCAAGGGCCTGTGGACCACGGGGCTCAGCCTGTGCTGGGCGGGCTCTTTAGCAATACATCTGGTATCACAGCTAATTGATTTAAGGCACAGCAAACAAGACACACAAACCCTCAGCCAGCTGGAGCCAGGCTAACATCCTGGGATCTCCATGTATGGATAGTGCAAAACTGAAAGGAGAACTACAGGCTGCTCACCCGCTTTGTTTCAGGTACCAGGTCGTCCTTCATCCTCCGCTTGGTCCAATCCCTGGCGAGCTCATCCTCCGCTATCTCCTGAAGGTGGAAAACAGCTACTTGGGCTGATGTCCGACGGATGCGGCCACTTGGGGTCCTCTCAAAATCTTCCACGGGAGCAGGCTCTGGCTTCACCTCTGGCTCCTCTGGAGGCTGCAATAAAGACAGAGCCAGGAAGGGCATGATGAAAGAACAGGCGAGCTGTCCGGCCCCACTGCAGGGATGCTGGGATTTGGGCTGTGCATTTCCAGATCTGCTTTGTGTCTCTGCACTGGAGCATGGGAACAAGGGGAGCAGCCACCTCCCTCAGCCCAGCAATCAGCCACGCGATAGACTGACTGCATCCCTGCACACTCCCACGTGGATAAACGTCTCCAGTTATTAGAGTTAGGGAGTGATTAGCGTCGGATGCACTGTCAGTAGGGATCAACAGAACAGAAAGGGATGCTCCCCAGGGACAGGTCCTGCCACCCCAGCGCTGGCAAGCAGCCGGCGTTTGTGAGGGAGCGGCCTGAGCTCTGTTTTTCCTCCCTGCAGAGCACAGATGCAGGGTGGGCTGGAGCACAGCCCTGTGGATACTGGGGAAGGGGAATGCTGCTGACTGCTCTGGTCCTGTAAACGCAGCATCCTGTACTTTTTTGGAAGAGCAGAGGGGGTTGCAGCCCGTTCCCCCCAACACTACATGGTACAACACGCGCACGTGGTGATGTGAGGGAGAAAACATCAGCCCGACGTCTGCACCTGCCTTGCCCGGCCCGGCCCTGCCCGGCTCTGTCCTGCCCACGGGCTCCGCAGCTCTGCAGTACCCCCCGGGGGGGGATGGCCCTGCTCCTCGGGCTGCCGAGGCGTCCGTGGGGCTCACCGAGGCCGTGTGTTCTGACCGCACATGGTAGTCGTGGCCAGCCTTGGATTTGTACTTCTTGCTGCAGTGTGGACAGCTGAAAACAGGCTTGTCAGCCTCGGCAAGCTGCTTCCCGCACCGCTTCTGGTGGTACTGGTAGCCCATCAGGCTGGAGAAGTTGGCCACGCAGCCCTATGGAGATGGGGAGAAGGGGAGCGTTAAGGAGGGTTGGGGCTTCATGTGGCCATGTCGAAAAGGTTGAGATGCTGTTGCACCAGACAGGAACATTCCCAAGGAGCCCCCTCAGCAGAGCAGCTCTGCCAACGCATCCTGTCCAAGCAATGGGATTTGACGGTCCCCAGAGTCATGCACAGGAACAACACTGCCCTGGAGGGATGGGGGGAGCAGCCCCTGCTCCTGGCACTCCCTGCCCCAACACACAGACAGAGCTCTCTGGACAGGCATACAGCAGGCAGCAGGAGGGAAAGGCATTGGGGAGGCACTGCCACCGTGGAGAGCAAAGCATCCGCGGGACAAACCTCTGCCACACGCCCCCATACCCGTTCGTGACTTGTCTGCAACCAGCTCACCACCATTTCCAATGCAGTTTGGTTTGGCTGTGCCCCTTCCTGAGTTCAGGAGGCAGAACTTGCCCTCCAGCACTCCTCAGCCTGCCCTGTACCCACCCTCCTTTCGGGATGGCCTGTTGCTGGAGCACACAGAGCCACAGGGACAGGGACCAGGATGGCTGAGCTAAGCTGGAAATGTTTAGTGTGTGCCACGGGAGAGAGCACACGTTGCCCTCTGCACCAGGACTCAGTCCTTCCGCCTTTCCACAGAACGAGAAACAGGAATTGTTCTCGTACCTCACTGGGGCATTTCAGTTTTCCCATCTGCTTTAGCACTTTCCTTCCTGTTCACCAAGTCCAGTGGTTTCCACGGGAACAGGCTGGAAACAAGGAAGTAATAGAAGCGACAGAGTCAACCATATACTCATGCCCTCTGTGCCAAGAGTGGGTGGTAAAACTCTGCCTTGCAGGAGCTGCCCTGGGCTGGGGGGAACCTCTTGTTAGGAGAGCTGAATCTCCCACTGCTTCGCCCTTATGTGTTGGATGTGCTCATGCCCTTCCTGTGTTTGCACCCAAAGGGCCAGCTGAGATATCCAGGAGCAGTTCCTGCAGAGAGGATTCACCAGCCAGACTGAAGAGCAGGAGATTTAAGGCACAGGTAAAAGACAAGTCACAACTGGTAAGCATGGGACATGTAGAAATGTGGTTGTGCCTTGCCCTGGTATCTTTGAGATGTCCACGATCAAATTTTTACAACAGCATCTACATTGGTGCCCGCCAGATTTTATTCATGATAAATTTTGTGGCTGCTTCTCTCATGCATGGTGGAGAGCTAAAGCCTGGATGTTTTGATTCGTGCAAGGCAGAACCCATCAGTCCCAGATTTGTGGGCAGTTTTGGAGGCAGAGCTTTGCCAGTCAAAATCCACCTCACCATACTCACTGAATCCTCCCCCATGCCGGGATCTGAAACCCTGTTTTCATTGTTTCAGTCCTCTGCTCTATCACGATCAACATGGGCCTAACTTGCTACCTGGGAAGGAAAAGCTTTGCTTGGCAGGGAAGGGAAGGGAGAAGGCCACCATCTAGGCTGAGCAGTGTGAAATGCTGGGAGGATGGTGTTGTGATCCCTCTTTTACAAAGAGGACTGATGATGGCTTTGTGTTCTGCATCTGCATGGAGAAAGGAGGTGCAAGACAGCACAGCTCAGCTCCCTTACCTTGCTGACGTGCTCAGCCATGGTGTGGTAATTCAGCCCAGCTTTGGACTTGAACTGCTTTTTGCAGTGCTGACACTTCAAGGCATCCTGCAGCTGAAGGAATTAAAGGCAAGTCACCAGGAAGGCCACAGCCCACCATTCATTCTTCCAAGGGCTGCTGCTGCCTGTCAATAACCCCATGGGTGGCTGTTGCTACAGCAGTACCCAGCAGTGGGACCCAGCAGGAAATGCAGTGTCCCTGTTCCCTATCCCAGTCCATGCCTGCAGCTCAGAGCTTTCTCTCTGTTGTCCTGGATACTGTTATCAAACACACATGCCCCAAATTTTGGAAAACATTCCATTTTGGATGTAGATTTAAAGCCTCACTGGTTGGAAACATCTGGACCTGGTGTCTTAGCCTTCCTGTTAAAGGGTTAGGAAAGAGAAGAAGCTTTGATCTACTAGTATGTCAGTGGACTGTGCTCTGCAGCCCTGTTAACTAAGACAGATGCTGGCATACAGTGCACTTTCTGGGTGCCTGGGCTGTGTGAAATTAAGGACACAATCACAGCAGAATACTTCCTGCCTCATACTGCTCTGCTGTTTGACCCGACTTAGCCTCCCAAGTGCCTGGGGAGATGTATTCACTGCACACCCTGAGGTATGAGAGGCACTTGCACAGTGCGTGAACTGATCATGACTTCTGCTGGGGCAGGAGCCAGAATTTACTGACTCAGGAGATGAACG